GTCTAGCATCTGTCCTGGCCTTCTAGTGAGAAGTAGTGATTTTCTCTCAAGCACAGACAGAAAACTCACACTTAGTCAGACCCCACAAAAATTACAGTCTGTGCGACTCCCAGTATCAATCCAAATACACAGAAGGTGATTCCTCTATTATTTCTCTCACTTGCACCCCTATGACCATTTTCACCTGTGCTAATGCAGACTGCCAACTGTTCAAAACTCTCCAATAATGCAACAGAAAAGAGTTCAGAGAGCAACAAGAGCACTCAGAGATCTATAACCTATGAGGAAACCACAAAGGAATTTTTGTTTTCTTAAATATAGAGAAGAGAAAACTGAACAGAGACATGATAACAGTCCTCAAAAATGTAAACGACTGCAGCAAAGAGGAAGGAAATAATCTCTTCTCTCCCACGTGGAGAGGATAAGAATAACAGGCTAAAATTGCAGCAGGCATGTTTTTTTATTAGATATTAGCAAAACCATTTCTAGCTGTTAGGATGGTGTTACTGAAGCACTGGGATAGGCTGCCTTGGAAATCTCCACTTTGAAACACTTTCGAAGCAGGCTGGAGCAATGCCTGCGCTAACGGGACAGGCAGCACTGACCCGCTGTCCTTTCGGAGCAGGAGAAGGAATTGATGACTCCTTAAAATCCCTTCTAGCCTTGCTTTCATATAATGTAATGATTCATTGGATAAGTACGTGTTCATTTACCACCCTCCAGGAGAATCTTAGAAGTATTACTTGCATCTTTGTGTTCTTTGTCTCCAGAGCCTTCCTTAAGATTATTACTCTTCCAAACACTAGGCTATGCTCTGTGGTTCTCTTCTATAAAAGATGAAGTTAGTCCTGCCAACCAGGAGCTGTAACCCTACCATTAATTGAAAGACAATGGGACTAATGCTCTTGAAGAAATTACAAAAAATGGGCCTTTGGCTACCTAGTCACTTGCCTTCACTTTTGCAGCGGCATGCACTACAGCACTGCTGAGTTTTGCTCTTCAAAGACAACCACCAGTGAAACACAGAAAGCAGGACCAGGGACAAGAATGGTTAGCAGGGTCAGTCCCTGGCTGTCACAGGCAGCGGTATCCGGTAATCCTTTCGGTAAACTCGGCAAACTCCATCTCCAGTCCGGTTCGGTTGCTTGGCCTTGCTACTCTCACTGTCTGGCTTCTCCAGAACATCAGCACTTAGGCAGCCAAGAACCTTCCTCTAATTTCTAACCTAGCATTTTTTCTTGGCCAGTTTATTAATTAGTTCCTGGGCTAATGCTGCGTTTCTATCTCCCTAGAGTTTTCCAGTTCAGTGGATTCGTAGTTGGTATCAGTATCCCTCTTGGTTTTCATTCTGTAAGGCTAAACAGGTCAAGCTCTATTCATACCCTCTCAGAGAATCAGGTGAATGCACCCATAATAGAGCAGTAGCACACTTCTTTCCTGATGTAGCGAAGAGGTGGCCCAAAACTGCAGGGTGGAGAAAGGGTGTCTCAAAACCAAAACCAAAACCAAACCACTTTTGTAACACAAAATCGACGCCTGGGAAGAGTTAAGAAGTGAAGTTGCCCTGTTCTTTGCTCTGCTAGAAGTGTAGCTGTCCTACAGAAACTCTTGCGGTCTTGGTTATGGTTCTCTCTCAAGTACTGCAACAAATCTGAGAGTGATGGGGAAGAGCAATTCTTGCATCAGTCTTCACACAGCATGGCCTACTTTCTGCTGCCAGCAGTCTCTACTGGCTAGTGCCGAAGGCCAAGAATTGCAGCTCTTCTTCCCATGTCCCCTTTGCAGAGGCCAGCCCCACTGGTGGCACTAGCACTGCAATGCTCTGGTTACACATTCAGCAGCAATGCTGCTTGAACCGGCTTGTCCCCGCCCTTCTCCACTCCCAGCTGCTTTTTCCATTTCCCGCCGGGCACCCTCCCTACTGCCAGCATAAGTGTTTGTGCAATTATGTGCAGAACCAGGTCAGAGATCTGATCCCAGCCAAAAAATTAGCCTGCAAATTTATTTTTTTTCCAGCTGGAAGAAGTTCTTGTGTCTGGTTTCTTGGGTGGCTGCACAAGCACTTTGGCTGGCATAAGGGAGGGAAGAGGATGGGGGTGGAAATAAGCAGCTTGGCCATGTGTGCTACTCCCAAGTGAATGTGGCTGATCCACAGAGCCTCCCCTCCACTCTCAGCTAGCGTGGGCTGATCTTACAAGGGAAATCACGTACTTGCTCTTCATCATGCCCCAGATGCTCCCCACCCTCCTTTCAAGGAACACTGCTCTTTCCCCATCCGTCTCTAGTGTGCATTGCCAGAAAGAGTCTCTAATCAATCAACATCCATTAGAACAGCCAGGTTTTTGAGGTCTCCCACTTCTCTTGTGTTATAAAAACAGACTGGAAGACAGCTGGGGGGCTGTTGAGTCTAAAACTCATGAGTGCTGCCACTCGTGTCACACAATCTCTTAGAAGTGGGGCTGCATTTTCCATACCTTAGTCTTTGGGCTATTACAATGG